ATTTTATGGTATGCGGTACAGTGGGGGAACTCACTAAGCTTCGTGCTTACAGTTTTCTGTTTTGGTTTCAGGTACCTCTTCTTCGAAGGGGAAAGAGTTGGTGCGGTAGCGGCCCATCACACACACACACACGCCTTGTATTCCGCACTATGAGATTTCCTTGGGATTTTCCTCTAACGTTGTTATGTTTTTATAAACTGAATTCCAGACACGCACACTTTTATGAATGATATGATCGGTGTATGTTTTACTACTAATGTTTTGCTAATTATATGTTTTCAAAAATGAAATTTTTGGCTCGTATTTTTGGGACGTTACATATATTCCCTGTAAACCACAATACACTACATCACTGACAACTAGAAACCACAATACACTACATCCTAAACCACAATACACTACATCCTCATTGTTCCTCCTCTTTCTTTATCCGGCGAGACCAATCACCGCCCCAGACACCATACAATGTGATCAAACTCCCACCAACCCTCCATCATTGACAAATACAACCACATCCTCCTTTTTCTCCTGTTGTCTTTTCCGCTCGCAAGCCAACCCAGCCAAAACCACCACCAACCACCTCCCAAAAAACCCTCTACTTTCTATTCTTTTCTTCTAATAACCTTAGCAAAAGCTGCCCATCAATGAAGCAAATTTCGTTGGGATTCCACCCTCATAGTTGCATATCCAAAAGGCTATGATGACGTATAGTTCCTGGATGTGAGGTTTCTTGAAGCTCATAAGGGACGACATCAGTGGTCTGATGGTTACATCGAACGCCACTTCGCCATCATGTTATCTCTCCGTCACTCTTTCCCTTTCTCTTAGTATCGCATTTGCACACATATACACACACATTTGTGTGTTTTGTGGTTCTTTGTTCTCTTTGATTAGTTGATGTGAGAATTTGGATGAAGATGATGTCGATGCTTGGCACATCAAGATGACGTCAGGGGTGATGGTTATCAGTGAGATATAGAGTAAGGGGATCAGGTAGTGTGAGAGTTGCAGAGAGAAAAATGGAGGGTTTTCAGGTTTAGAAGGGTAGGTTGGCTTGGGTTTTGGGAGTGGGCCAAATTTTTTTTATTTATAAATAATAATAATCATCCCTAATAAATGAAAATAATTTTTGCACATGTCATTTTCTCATTCATTATATTACATGTCATTTTGTCATAATTTTGATATATTTATTTTCAACTTGTCATTTACTTCATTTTTTAATATATCTCGTTAATTTAGTTTCCATAAATTAAAGTTACCATAATGATTATATTAATATTAAATTTCAAACACATTTTGTACACGTGTATGACAACTAAACACATAAATTTAATTTATTTTTTTTGCATGTTTTTTTATATTTTTTCTCATAATTTTTACTTATTTCAAATTCAAATTTAAATAAAATTCCCGTTTAATCATTTATATTTAACATTTTGTTTTAATCAATCCGTATAGTATACATGTGTTACAACCTAAGCAGTTATCGCGGTCAAAAATATAATAGTAGTCACCGGCCGCTATTTGAAATCGTGGTTCTCGCGGCGGTATAACGGTGATATAGCGTTTTTATATTATATATATATATATATATATATATATATATATATATATATATATATATATATATATATATATATATATTGGTGTATTAATCAGTAAATCATAATTCACATATCAAATTTAGCTAATCATACTTTACAGACCGGTTACCAATGTCACAATCAATCATACTTTAAGACAATCAACAAGAAAACATATGCAATACTTACTATTTTATCATACTTTAACACAATTAGAGTTAGTAAATAAATTGATTAAGTTATTTGATAGTTAATCATAATGTAGTACTTCAAGTTTTCAACACAATTAGCAAGACAACACATACATGGTTTCAATGGAAGTCATGATAGTCACAACATTACAATTTTTTTCAATTGAATGACATAAAAGTTTCGGTTTGTGCTAAAAAAATCAATTTTATTTAAAGGAATGATACAAAAAAAATATTGTTATGTAAAATACCCTAAAATGGAATTTATTCAAATAGTGGTTATAGCGCCGCTATAACGGTGACCATAATCACAGTGATAGCGGTAAATTGCAACACTAATAATGTCACCGCTATTCTAAACCGCTATTTTGAAATAATGTTTTTTTTATCCCTGCTAACCGCTATAGCACCGCTATTGACTACGTAGGTTACAACTAGTAATAAATATCAGAAGATCAATTTGAGAAATAATAATTATCATTTCAGTTCTGGTTCGGACTAAAAACATAACAAAGCGGTCAATTAGGGATGAACGTGTAAGTTTAAAACTAATAAGGGACTGTCCGAATTAATTTTAAAAAAATAAAGACTAAATAGATAATTTAACACTTATACCAAGGATGAATCGTGTAATTTACTCTAAATAAATTTATATAACTAAATTTTCGTAAATATAAAAAATTAACAAAAATGAAATATAATTTAATAAATATAAAATTACTAAAAATATAAGTATTTAATTACTTCAAAATAAAACTACATAATTATCTAATTAAAATTAAAAACCAAATAAAAACATCACAATAATTAAAATATTACCTGAATCCTCGTCGAAATGAACATCCAAATCTTCATTTGTATCATCATGGGAATTTATGTACAAATCCACGTCGCACCATGTATCATCGCTCTATGAATATGTTTCATTAAATTAGAGTAAATTATTGAAATCGTTCCTATGGTTTGATCAAAATTGCACGTTTGGTTCCTAACTTTTTTTTGCACTCGGATCGTCCTTGTGGTTTGATTTTGTTGCGTTTTTCGTCCTTGTGGTCTGATTTTGTTGTATTTTTCGTCCCTTACATACATAAAGTTAGGGACCAAACATGCAATTTTTACCAAACCATAGGGACGAAAAACGCAACAAAATCAAATCACAGGAACTATCCGAGTGCAAAAAAAAAAATAGAGACCAAACGTGCAATTTTGACCAAACCACATAGACGATTTCAGTAATTTACTCATTAAATTAACATGATAGTTGTGATGTATATCGTAGTCATGAACTTCCTTTCTATCTAGCATGTATTGTGTCGTACCACTATCTACTCATTTGAAGGTTGACATAATTATGGTTTCATCGTAGTGGGATATTACTTTTCTTCATCATCTAAAATCATATTATGTAATACTAAATCATATTATGTAATACGATGCACACATACATTATGTTTTGCAATCTTATGGGATCACATGAACATGCTATGAGTTTGAGTACTTGTCAACACATCTCTAGGACATCAAATGCTCGTTCCATGTCCTTCATAGTTGTTTCTTGGGCCGTCTTAAACTTTAATCATTTGTTGTCGTTTGGACAAGTCAATGATCAACAAATATAGATTATTCAAGATATATCTTACAAGTGAAATATTACTCACACTTGTATAATATTCCATTCGCTTGAAATATCATATCATATGTATTTTTAAGATAAATGTCGTTGAATACTAACAACTGTAAAAAACAATGATATTGTTGGCACCCACCCTACTAAAGAATACATGTCATATCACAAAGTTGTAGGACGTGGTTGCTTCTAAAATTATCGTTAGTTCTTATGATCACCTACCATATAATGATCAGACCATGCTTAGGGTCACACTTCACATGTCCAAATACATCCAATCAAGACTACATACATTTTAGGAAGTTCATGCTTGTTTTTATATGTCATGTACAATCTGTGGATGTCATTAATCATAGGTTTGTACAAATATTGCTTCGTGTAAACTATAAGCGTAACTTTGCGAACTAGTAATCACTATCATGTTGGTCCACTCATACATCCTCAAATACTCATCACATGAGTATGTTTTACGGTTGTGTACTTTTGTTTTGGCGAAAAACATTTTCTAGCTGTCGCATCCCACTTCAATTGAAAAATATGGAAACCAACTCTTCAAGTCATCAACTATATGCAAGAATAATTATTTCCTCATCCAAAGCCATTGTCTAAACTTTTCAGCATACACGACATCATAAAGGTAGTCATCTGTGATACGATGACTTCATAATTTCTCCGTAAAGGATTTCTTCAAGTTCTCGAAAGTGAACTTTCAACTTCTTGTTCACGTCTTCACGATAATACACAGTTGCCTTTTTCATAATTTTTCCGTTAAAAATTGACTTCCATATTACCAACACATCCAACAAAGTATAAGACTGATGATGACATTGTGAATTGCGAATCTAATATAGAAGTGGTGAATACTTGTATTGTCGTAAGAAAGAAAATTGGAAATTGGATATGATTGATAGTTATAGAGTTTGAAGAAAATATTATTATTTTTAAATTTCCAATGACTAGACAAAGGGTTGGGGTGCAGTGAGTTCTTCTCCCACGGTAGCCATCATCTCACAAAACACACCTTTCGCTGCCACATAAACATAACCGCACTATGTGGTGGGAGTACACCGTGACAAAGAAAAAAAACTATTGAGAAATCCGAGTCGTGTTCTTCTGGTCTATGGCTATGTGGCGCGAAATTGTCAAAATTTTAGAAGAATTTGGGGGGATGGATTTCTTTCATGTTTACAACTTGATTAGTCACGTGTTAAGAGAAAATATCTTCTTTTCCATGAGATGAGATGGTGAAAGGTTGAGTTTTGGGTGGAAGTGTTGCATTCTGTGGTTACATCATATTTTGCTTTTATTGACAACTTCGACTTGATATTTATGAGCCAAGTAGCCAGCTGCCAACCCCACTAGTGTGGACTGTGGACCGATTCTGTGGTTATTCATCTCGGCAAAATTAGGTGAAGCAATTAATAAAATCAGTGTGGACTGCGGACCAATTTTATTTGTTTCTATATTTCATTTTCTTGCATTTGGTAACATAAATTCAAAATCAATACATAATACATATCTTTTCTCTCGATTCTAATGACTCCATGATCACCCTAAGTTTTGAACCCAATTTATACAAAACGACTGGACTACCCTTCAAAACCTGCAAAACAAATCAATCTTTTGGTACACAAGCAGAACATGATCCAATATGCAAAAGAAACCAAAAATAATAATAAAATTGAAGCCCAACAGAAAAGGTAGCCATTGATTTGCATTGCATAAATTACAGATTTGGCATGTTAAAAGTTAAAACAGCATTACGTATCAAGACTTGTACTATTTCTGCGTAGATTTCACACAGCTCTTTAAAATGCCTGAAATATCCCTTTTATTTGTTGTTGGAATGCTTTTAATAAGAATCACAGATGACCCTCCATCTATCTGTTTCTTAAAGGAACTGCAAAAATAATGAAACTATGTTTAAACCTTAACCTAAACTCCCATTTGATTAAAAAAAAGTATGTATGATATGAAGACACATACCTCTTTTCTTGCACATGGCTAGAATTATCCTGTTTCTTTTCATGGTTTGCCACCATTGTCTTGGCTTTTTCGTGTCCCTACACCAGATACCATCAAGAAATGGTCATATATAGATGGTCTTCCAAAATCCTAACTAAACAAACAGTGAATGGAGCCAGACTGCTACATGACAGATTAGGAAGAAACATAGCTCGGGTATACTAATTGCATCCATTGATGATTCATACTCAACAAGCAATTCACTTAAAAATTCACATTAATACAGTTACAGGGAGTGAAACAGATGTTAGATCCGAAGGGCTTTACCTGAGGGGACTTTGATCGAGCCATGGATTCTTCTTTACCTTCATACTTCGATGAATTGCACATCTTCAACTTCTTTTTCTTCTTCTTCTTCTTTTTCTTTTTATTCTCTCCGCCTTGTTCTGCATTTCCCGACTTGGATGATGAACTACACAGCTTCGATTTCTTCTTCTCTACATCACCTTTCTCATTCAGACTCTCCTTTCTCTTCTTTCTGTCACTGGTCATTAATCCCTTACCTTTCTTATCCCCAACCTTCCATACATTCTTTCTCCTGTACAACATCTTCTCGAATTTCCAAGATGGAACACTCGTATCGATAACAGTAACCTCTGTTTGCGAATACGCTGTTAGATCCCAATGGCCTTTCTCCTCCTCCTCAACATGTCCAGTCACCTTCAACTCTCGATTGACTTCCTTTGCTGTACGTCGATTGCTTAAAACCAACGGAAATGGCGACGGCGACGGTGACGGCGGTGGCGAGGAAACCCTGTCCTTTCCAACAGGCACGTTCTGAGCATCCGAATTTGTAGAAACAACACAGATTCTAGGGCACTGTTGCTTCCTACAGCTCTTTTTCCTTTTAATTCTCGATAAATCATGAAATTCTCCCATCTGAAACAGCTCCGATAGTACATTATTCATGACTTCACGACCTTGGATATCTCCACTATCATCCCGTTTGTCAAGTTTGGGTCTTTTATCGGGAAGCGAAGGATCCGTCGACGTTTGGGGATCAATTTTGTTGAGGGAATTGGAGAGGAAGTGTTCAAGGTTGATGTGATCGGAGTCTGGAAATCCTCTGGATGAACGAAGGCGGTTTAGCCATTTGGATGACTTGGAGCAGAGCATTGGTTGTGGACGAGGAGAAGATTAAAGAGTTGAAGAATTGTAGAATTGATAATTTGAAGAATTGGGATTTGAATTTAGGGTTTGAGAGTCGATGTTGGGAAGAAGTAGCTAAGCTGGATTCATCGGTGAGAAGACGAAAGAAAGAGAAAAGAGAGTACACGTGGAATCGAACGCCTCTTTAATTGACTTTCAGATTTCTTCTTTCCTTTTCGTCGTCGCCGAAAACTTCGTACTTTATATTTTAGATTAAATAAATGAGAAATTAAATTGATTCTTACTTTTTATGCCTACAAATATATCTACCCAATAAAATTATGACAAGTATCATCTTTCTATATTTTTTAAACTAAATCATTAAGACTATATTAGGAATATATCAAATACAATTAAATTGAATGGTGATTTGTCATAATTTTAGTGGGTAGGAATAATTGTAAGAGTAAAAGGTAGGAGACAATTTAATTTCTCTAAATAAATATACATGAATATGGATAAAAGATTAATAAATATCGAGGGAAGTCTAACGGACAACAAACGCGTATTTGTAGATGTCAAAATTAATTTTTTTTTTTTTAAAAATATTTGTGAATCTAAGGTATATACATGATCCGTTTGATATTATTAATGAGTTTCATCGTCTCTGGTGTGAGAAAACCAAAGATATTAAATGCGAAAAGTATAACCCTGCATAAAAACCGGTAAAGTTGGTCTCTAATTTTTTTTCATTCGGATGGTTCCTTTAATTTTATTTTATTGTATATTTTATCCCTATTAGACATAAACCTTTGGTATAAAAACCAATAAATTTGAATTGTTTTAGTAGTTGTGCTCTAATCTTCTGTTTATTTTCCATTCCACAAATAAATATCACAATTGTTCATCTCTTCCCCTAGAAACCTGCATCTCCTTCAATTTAACCCCTTCCCCCCCTTTTTCCTTTGATAGGGTGGTTGGAAACACAAAAGACAACATCAAATACAGACATTACATATGCAGATCTAGATTCAGTGATGTTGGAGCAAAAGAAGGATAAAGAGATATATAAATGAGAAATCCATCAGGGTAAGCGGGTTGATACAGTCACTTGATGATGTTAGTTGGAGACTCATTCAGGTGAAAACACTAGGAATCGTTCATTTATATCACATGGTCAGTGGTGCTTGATTACTTTGATTTGTAGTAGGCTTGATCCATCAACAATGTTCGTCAAATTTTTTAGTAGCAGATCGGGGATAGAGGGTGAAAAGAACTTAAATGAGAGGTTTGGCTAGGGATGGGTAGTGGGGTCAATGGTGGTTCCTGGCAAGAGAATAATGAGGGGAAGTAGATGAGGGTGTCTCCACGAAGGGATAAAGACCAGTGGTAGTGATCAATGGGACATGATGTTATTAAATATTAATATAATTAATTAAATATATATATATATATATATATATATATATATATATATATATATATATTATCTCTTTTATGTTTTATTAATTACAAAAAACAGGTTTGTTAAGTATATTATTAGTATCAACTCGAATTTAGATACTATCGTCCCCCTGGGTTCACCTTCTCTTGGTTGTGAGAGTTATCAAGTCCTTCACGATTAATCAACATGGAGATAGCAAACAAATTCGTAAGCTAATTGGCCAGGAGGGGATTCCGGACCAACGCTCTGATGATAAAGTCAGAAATAACCTTAAGAGAGTATGTCAAAAATCGAGTGGAATGTGTATATGTTTACGTACCTTGTAAAGTGGTTCTTTTCAATTATTTATAGTCGATGTTAAGAGGTTGCGCCCTCTTCATTACTGAGCATGTTTGCTATCTTATCACATTAATGGTCATATACCCGAAGGTACACTCTTATGTACTTACTAGTCGTTTAACAATTGTTTCTCGTTGGTAAAAGGATCCATTAGTCATATATTGTGGTACAAGGTATTTGCTTTGAGTTCCAATGTACTATGATAATGTTGTAACGTTATATTCTACCTTAGTCGTTACGTTTTGCGGTTTGGTACTCATGCCTAGTTCGGTATGCATTTTGTTTGGTACATATCTGCTATGGTATACATCTGGTTTGGTATATACATGGTTCGACATAATGAGGGTATATACATAGCTTTAGCCTAGACTATACCTATTAAGTCCCCTCAATTTGGATTGTTACTTTTCTTTTAGAAGTAACAATTCAAACTTAAAAGTTTTGTGAAGTAACATTTTTAATAGGATAAGCATAGACAACTAAATTAAATTTTAACATAACAGTTCAGTGGCTCCTAGTGTTCATCATTTCCTATAATCGTCCCTTCAGTTCTTCTCCATTTGAAGGGTCTACAACGTATAACTGCCACTTTGTCTGTTTCATAAATGAGGCTTTACTTGGTTCCTTATAAATACCCTTCTTGCTTGGTTACTTTCCTTCATAATTTGTGATTACTTTCAAATTGCTCTTCATTCTCGTTTCTCCATTTCACTCCTTCATGTCTAAAAAAGAAATTTCAAGCATTAACACCATGAAATCTAAACTTACCCCAAGAGCCAAGACGATGTCATGAAGAAGTACCATATTGATCCTCAGTTCCATCCGCGCTTGCCGGAGCCTGGGGATGCTTGTAACAACCCGGAATTTCCCACTTTGACATTGAGGTTAGTTATGTGACAATTTCATGTTAAACTACCTTTTTAATTGTTCAAATTAACTTTCGGGGGGGGGGGGGAGTGCAAGAAAAGGTTACTTGATCATATATGGGTCATATAGCCATTTTCACACACTTTGAGGGTCTAACATGAAATTTTAGCATGTATTTATACTCCACTTAACTCTAATCCAGGATTTAACAACCATTTGTAGCCAAAAACATCCCATTCTTAGCCTCCATCTTGAAGAAAGAGCATTTTAGGGTTCTTACCGTTGGTGGTGAGTTGAAGTGAAGAAGAAATGTGAAGTGGTGGGTATTTTGGGAAGACTTTTCGTGAAATTTTTGAAGCTTCCATCATAACAATTACATTCTTGGGATCATTTCTGGATTTTCCATAAGTTAAGAACTTTTTCCGTTAGTTCATTTTGATGTTCTATGAACCACACAACCACACATAAGAGGGAACCTTGAATTATGAAAAATTCTTGGTTTTAGGAGTGTTGGTTGGTCTCATTCTTTTCCCAATCGTTCTAGTCATCTGAATATGGTATTGAGGGTTAAGATCATTTCATGGAGGTTTTGATTGGATCCAAATTAAGCAGAAGGAAGAGGTCAATCGGTTTCTTCAAATCTATAATAGTTAATTCTCACGACGTGAACGTCCATGTGTCACGTCGTGGTGATGGGACTTCGATCGGTTGGGATTGCATATGATTTTTGGCCATGTCGTGACGATAGGGAATTGACTTAGTGTGTGGAAAATGTTTGAATTGACTTAAGATTAATGTTTGCTACTAATATTTTGGTCCACTCAAGTCTGGTAAACCACTCTTGTCCTGAAGTATAAAACTCAACAAAGTATTTAACTAAATATTTAAGTAAGATAAATATGAATATGAACAAAGTAAAGATAACTTAAGAGCAATGAGAAAGATGGAGAAAGAGATTTGACTTGCAGGATATTGAGTATTTGACGTGAAGAGAATATTGCTTCCTAAAAGGTTTCAATGCATGGAAGACTCACCTCATTAAATAGGAAATGAGTGATAAAAAGAAAAATACAAGACTTGCATGGATAACGTAAATTTGATAAGTCAGAAAATCTTGCACACACGATTTACTCGATTTTGTCCCGTGAACTATTTAATCAACAGTTCTAAACGACAAGAAGCATTAAATGCTTGTACGGACTCAATAACATCTAAAAATAGGAATGTCTTGGATAAGTCTTCATCTCAAAAGAAGCTTGACTTCAGTATCTATTCACATCTCGGAATGCAATTGGACTTCAGTTATGGATTGGCTTCGGATTGCTAGAGGTTCAATTTCAAGTATCAACTATCTCCCCCCTAAATGAACTTAGCAATCAAAAAACTTCTCACTTGGCTTCATCAAACACAAAGAAATAGGTACTTTGTAGCCAGCTTTGGACTTCCAAATACCACTTGAGACGTTCGACGAAATTCTTCTTGACATGCTTAGGAGAATCACCTTTTTCAGCATTGGAAATGAACTTCTGAAGTATCTTTTTCAGAATAAGATGTTTGTCAAGAACTCTAAAGAATTATTTTCGGTTAGCTAAGCAGTTATAGCGGTTCAAAATCAACTATCGGTTAAGGACCGATATTCGATATATAGGTTATCGCGGTGGGTATCAGTGGGATATCGGTATTTTTATGTTATGTAGGGATTTTGTAACCTTGTGTTTTATTGGATGTATACATGGTCATTAAGTAAAACATATAGTAAATTAGAAAATGTTTGAAGCAAATGTTTATCAATCTCATAAAACCCCCCCACCATATATCTACATTTTAATAATAAATGTAGTGACTTAATAAAAAAATTAGCTATAAACGCTATTTCACTGCTATCCCACCGATATTTGTCAAATATCAGTCAAATAAAGGTCAAATATCGGTCACTATCGCCACTATTTAGTACCGCTATTTTACCAGCTATCGATAACCGCTATCCCACCGCTATCTCACCGCTATCCCACCGCTATTGACTGCATAGTTGGTTAGTCTTCTTTTTGAGATAGACATATCCAAGTTCCGGTTCTTCAATGGGGCCTTCTTCCAAAATCTTTGCTTCAGGGAGTTGAGTAGTGATTTTTGTCAAAAACGTTCTCAGTTCCAAACAGGGAGAAAATTCAATGTCGGACCTGCAAAACTCAACAATATAGTCCTTCAAGAAGTTGATTGTGCCACTATAAGCTTCGATGCTCATGTCACTTGTTTGACGATCTCGAAAGTGAGCAGCAATGGTGAGAATGTCATTTGGGTTGATTAAAGGAAAGTCGGCATCTGTGATGGTGATGGTTGATTCTTTGTTCTGAGATACATAATGTCTATATAGCATATAGTTAAGATCAAACTTGATTTGAACCTTACTATCGTATCCAATGATCTTGGTAATCCACTTCTAGACCACACTTCCTTTTGGGGTGGTGCATTGACGGTGTAAAAGGTTCTCAATCTCTCATGCTCTTTCCTGATGGTTATTTGAGGATCATCATTCAAATGAAAAGGAGTGTATTGGATGTAGAATTGTCCGTGAGGAGAGATTGCAAGTGAAGT